CCCCCCCCCCCATTTCTACAAACAAGCGAAAGGAATGTGTTCGTGCTTTCCTTCTTGATCCATTATTAGGTGATTGGAGAGTAACAAATTTGTCAACGCTTCGTGAGAACTTTGGGGCGATCTTCTACCCCACCTCACCTGCAATTCTGCGAGATCGCCACAGTCTAAGAAAATTTTCTGTGCATCGAAGCACACTCCTTTTGTCATCCTTCTCTCTCCATCTCTGCCTTTCTCCCTCCACTTCATCTGCAATGGGGAAAGTGGAGCAGCCGACACACTTCAACGTAAAATTTACTTAGCAAAGACACTTCGCTCTCTCACGTGATCCGAATCAAACAAAAGGGGGGATTAGAAGAAACGATATGAACTATTCAGCCCTTGCGAATTTTTTTGCCGAACCGTACAATCGCATCCTCCATACTCCGTTCAAAAGCGGACGACAATAACAAGTTGCGTAAACGCTAACTCTCAACAGCGACTCAGCTAAATTGCGTGTAAAAAAATCCCAGAAAAGATGGTTTTCCACGTGAGACACCTCAGAGGAGAGAGGAGGAGGAGGACGGAGACGACGACGACAAAAAGAGCAAACAATGAATCACAAATATGCATCTATGTGTGCACCGCCAGCGTCTGCCAACCTAAGCCAACAAGGAGAGGAGGCGAGGCGAGGCGAGGCGAGACAGTAAAGTGACCTCCATAAGCTGGGTCAAATAATTTTGTCCGTACACATGTGTGTGTGTGTATGTTGGGTGAAGAAGGGGCCATAAGGATTCGTTGGTGTGCACACGCCTAGACCGAAAAAGGAAAACCAAAAAGTACACACACACACACACACCGCCCACCACAGAGTGTGGAGTAGGAGGAGTACGCGAGAAAGGGGGAAAACTAGGCAGCCACCTTGAAATGCACCAATCATGACTGAGAACGCGTGCCTATGTGCGCAGCGTTCAGCGAATGTACGCGAAAACAAAAACCAAGATAGAGAAAAAGAAAGAAAACCAACAACGGGTGTAGCAGTAGCAGCAGCTGGAAAGGGGAGGACTAGGAGGAGGTTAGAGACTCAGAGGTAGATGACGGGACTGTGGAAGGGGATGGCTATTTATAGGGGGAAGGTTATTGCACAGCAAGAAGGAGAGGAAGGCATTTAGGACTGTTAGAGCACCTCATAGAAGGCTGTTGGGCAGTTCTCTTCCCCCGTCGACGCAATATCCGTAGTCGTCGTCATTGCAGCTTCCTCCTCTGGATGCGCATTCTGAATAGTCGCTGATGCAAGGAGGGGCGGTGCAGCAGGGCCGTAAAACTGTTGTTGGCGACGCTGCGCTTGATACTGGCGATACTGGATTCGATGTGATCGCGATTGCCTCCCAATTGCAAGTGAGGAAGAGTAGCCTCGTTTCGGTGGAGGTGGAAGACCTGTTACTATTGTTGCTTGAGGTCCTCCTCCCCCTCCACTGCTGCTATCAAGTGCAGACGGTTCTTCGAGGAGATCTGTCGATCCACATACCTGCCAGAAGCCGCGAATTTGCGGCGATGCGCCATAGACGAGGGGCATTGATGATGGTGGTGGTGCTGCGGTTTGGGTCTGTGAAGAAGGAGGCAAACGCTGCAGACGAGTCAGTTCGGCTTCGAGGAGACGCGAATAGGTCTTATAGCGAGCAAGTTCATGCTCTAGAAAGGCCACGCGTTCATCCAAATCCGCACGTTGGGCTGCAAACTCGTTACCAGTGCCTCCACGGAGAGCATTAAAGGTCTTCTTGCGTCGACGACCAAGACTAGCGGTGGAGAAAGCCGAAGATAGCGAGCGGTCGGTATGATGAGTGGCGAAGGATGGAAGAGTGGCAGCCGACGAAGGTTGCAGCGACTTCAGCACTGAGTCGGGGATGTAAGGCGATTGGGTAGAGAGTGAGTGTGGCACGGGTTGATTTACCTCGTTCTCAACCGTAGACGAGTCGCCCCTACCCGAAGGTGATGGTGACGGTGCCGATGCCTCCCGAGGCAAATAGGTAAGATTAGGCTGCGACGGTGCTGACATTCGACGCCGTTTCAGTTCTGACAGGTCCCGTGCCAACTCCATTACCCGCTTTTGATGACCTTCCAATTGCTCATGCTGAAGCATTGTTTAAATGTTGCTACTGCAATTATTGTTAGTAGAAGATGATGAAGTAGCCTAAAGTCGGCATTAGGGCACTGAATGAGCATAGTTGTTGAATTGACGAGGCTCTTTGCTAAGCCAGCCAGCAGTAGCGGTCCAATGCAAGTGGGCAAAGTGCTGAACCAAACGCTAAAAATGTATCCTAGTCATGATAGGAGAGGCAAGAGCGAGGGGAAGAGGAGAAAGTTTTGGAGCAGCTGGTGATTCATTTGACGCAACCAACCAGCCAGACAACAAGGACACGCACTTAGTCAAGGCGTATGATCAGAAAGTTTACCTTGAGGGAGCAAGAGATTCAAGAAGGAGGAAGAAAAAGAGGATGAAACAAACTCACCACTCCCAAATGCGTGACCCCTGAGGGAAGGACAGGTCGATGAAAAATGTGATCGGAGCCCACAGCCGAGGGAAGGGAGGGAGCTGAGAGAAGGCCTGCGACGTAGTTGATCTTGTCCACCCAGTACTCCAACTCCTTCGTCTCACTGTTATGATGACAAAAATTAAGGTTATATTGTGTTCTCCAAAGTTGGCGATTCCATTGCTACAACTCATTTTCCCACCCCAGACACGCACGATTTGTAGCGTCGTAAGGAGGAGGGAGATAGGGAGGAAGGGAGGGAGGGAGAGACTTAGGGATGGAAAAGTGGACGTGATTTCTGGCCACAACCGCATCGCAAAATCGTGCACGGGCTAACGATGGTGAGTCAGCAGAATGGTTGTGCTTTTTATGACAGGTTTGCAAAGCAAAACCACACAATTTGCGCCATCCATATGGTGTAGGTGGATATGAGACGTTTGTTGTGCCTTTCCCCAAGCAGCGACCACTTTATGTGGTGGTTATGCCCTGCGTGATGTCTAGTAACCCCAACATCATTGGGGAGGCGGAGTGCAGCAACATCCATCTCCACATCCACATCCATCACCCCTGGTGGAAGCGCCTACACACCAGCACTAACACCACCATCATCAAGCGTCAGCAGTAGACGGTTTTCATGTGAGGCGAGTGAGTCACGCACCCCCCAGCTCCGGTTCCATTTCGAATGCCAACACACACACACAAGGGTGAAACCCAACTTGAAGGTCAACTCTCCAACCTCAGGCCAAACGTAGCGGCACCAATGACATCATCAGTCACGCCCTTTCACCTTCGCTAGTCAAGGTCTTTGAATGAAAAATGAAAAAAAAAAAGAAATCTGCACGCAATGAAAAGATGGAAGATGGTCAGGTTGAATGTTCATGGGGAGCTGGAAGGTGGTCACATAAACAGGAAGAGGGAGAAGGTTGGTTTGTGGCCTTGCAACAGTCTATATGGCTGGTGAGATCTCCGTCAACCTGTCAACCTGCCCCCGAGCATCAACAAATCATTGGAAGATCTACAGAATGATGGTGAAAACAGTAAATCATCCGAGTTGTTGTTTAGGCAAGGATTTGAAATGCAACGACTCGATGACTGAATTGAGGGAAGTGCAAAACCAGAAAGACGAACCCAGCCTTCATTGAAAGCACGATGGAAAGAGGTGCAACAATTATGCAAAAGTGATGCCTCAGGTATCCGCAGTCCACCACAATTTGGGAGTGGAGTGAGCACCAACTACATTGGAAGGGAGATTCGAGTGGATCCTCGATAAGCAGAAACCAACTCTCCAATCGAGAGGCAGACAGATTAAAGCGAAGTTGCCACAGAGGCCTCAGCAATTATTCGCCCTCGGGTGGTTGTGTGAACTTTGGTACAAAATTCCCACCCACCCACTCACGTGCCTGCACACGAGTGAGTAAATAAGAGTTTTGGCCCTGTAAAACACTTGTGAATGACAATTTACATGTTACGCGAAAGGAGGATACTTACTTAACCTGCATGAGGTACTCCGAGCCATCCTTGGTGGTGAGACGAAAGACGTTGGGCTTTTTTACGTAGTCCTCTGCAACACAAGCGAAGGCGTGTGCTATGCAAATGACAGCCTCCGGTGGTGGTGGCGGTGGTGGTGGTGTAGGTGGCAGTTGGAAAGCTGCTGCTGCTGCTGCCGCTAATTGTTGTTGCAGAACACTTGATACGGTAGCAGAACCATTATTCAATGTCTGTGATGGTGGTGGTGGCGGTGGAGGGGGAGGTTGTATCCAATCTGCCTCTGCCTTCTTTCCACCACCACCTCCTTCATCGTCAAATCGGTCCACACCCTCCTTGTGCTTTGAGGAAACGCATCCATTAGTACCCTCAGTGAGTGGTGAGCTGGGAATGATAATAGTGATGTTCAAAAAGAGAACCGCAAAATCCACATAATCCACCCCTCTGTTGTAGCTAAATCGCATTTTGGAACAAATAAGAAGTCCTAGCCCCACCTGTGTACAAGTGCCTACACTCACGCATCATCAGTGACAGCTGAAGCAGTGGACGGTGGCAGAGATGCTTGTAATCGCTGATGCTGTTCATGGTAGAGACGGAGTTGTTGACAGTGGAGTTGCAAACGGTAGACCTGTTTCATATAGCTTACAGCCATCTCCTCTGTCCGTGTAGCCGCAGCCGCAGTCTCCGCGTCCCTGTAGAGGTACAGCATGAGGTCACGCAGGCGAGCGTAGAAGAGTTTCCAGCTGCGCTTGCCAATTGCCGCTATGAAAGGAAAAAAGTGACACAAAAGTCAATGAATGCAATCCACCTGCAATGAATAAGACGGAAGAGTCGTACAAATGTCTGCTCCTCTAAGTCTCCACCTGCCAAATTACTGAAATGCAAGCAATGAAGTAACGATCACATCTGGTCAGAGACGAGTGCCGTCAAGGCTAGATAGAACAACCGATGCAGAGAGGGAAGTTTGGTGCGGATAATGAGGAGCAAATTATTTTGCTTCAATCGCCAATGCCACCTTCCCAGCTGGCAATCGTACTGGATGGCTACTAATCACCATAACCAACCACCTATCTCCTTAAGACCAAAGTTGTGAACATGAAGCCATGAATGAATGAGACGGAACTAAGATGTCTGGATGGCAAAAAAAGACGTACTTCGTTTGCCATGTGAATCCATCACACATTTTCGCATCACAAACCCACGCATATACTCCCGCGCGGAGATATCCTTCGGTATCTGAAAGAAAAGGATAGACGATGTTGGCGATACTCGACGAGGTCCATGTAGAAACAGTCTTTCTCTCTCCATTCACCCTGTTAGCTGCTTTAGATTAAAAAGAAGAGAAGACTTACATCCGCAAAGGGGTTGGTGAACAATTTCAAGAGGTCCCCACCACCCTCTGTCTTGTTGCTGCTGTTGCTATTAGCAGCACCAACTGTGGATGAATTAGCGAGAAGGCCTTGGGAAGTGAAGGCAGATTGTCGAAGTTGACCACCACTACCATTTCCACCACCACCAGCAGTAGCAGCGGTCCATGCAGCAAGCAGTGAAGCATCCGCAGCCTGCCAAAAAGGTGGCGCGGATTGATTTGATGCAACCCCACTCCTCATAGGGGCAGAGGAGGAGGAGGAGGAGGAGGCTGGAGAGTTGGGAGCAGAGACGACAGTAGCAGCCGAAGGAGGGACAAATGCCACCCCATTTGTTGGTGTGGTTGCACCGTTCATACCAAAACCATAGAGACCAGTTGGTAGCATTGAGGAAACTGGACCCACAGGTGCACCTCCGTACATAAGGTTGAATGCCGGCATTTCAACCCTACAAGTAGGCCCAGTCTGGTAGACAGGTTAGCCTTTAAGAAAAATTTACAAAAACTTCACAGCTCTATCAACCACACAGTGTTATACTCCTCCTCCATGACCTTCCTCACTGATAAATACACGAAAGCTTACACGATAAAACCAACTACGGATTTTTGCTTAGGGCGACAGTGTTGAGGACCGGGAAGAAGGAATAACCTGAGGAGAAAAGCTATAAAAAAAGATGACAACAGCGAAAAGAAGAAGTGATCAGGCGTCCTCGTAATTTACTCTCTCCCTGGATGAGGAGAAGTGAAAGGGGAAAGAAGACAAGTGTCACACGCTGGAAACATTGTGGACAAGCATGTACACGGGAATACGAAGGCGACCGAAGTGATGGCAACATGAACTGTTTATGGAAGACAAAATTCCCCACTCCCTCCACCAGTCCGCCTCAAGCTACTGGCAGATGATGAGATTGAAACGATAGGAGAATCCAACTGCTGTGCTGTGAAAGGCATGGAATGCTTCGTATAGGCGGTTAAGTGTTGTAAGTGGGAGGGATTTTGTTTTAGCTGACGCTGTGCAAAGGCTCGAATATGCGTCAATGAAGGCAGATGGACAATGAGGAGAGTGAACGAGACTATCACTTACACAGGCCACCGGAGTGGTTCCTGCTTGAATGCATCGTAGAGGCGTTTCAGTTCATCCGATGAATACGCGTTCTCGCCGTTATTCAGCTCCATCAAGTTGCTCACAAACTCTTCGCACGACATTTTTCGTGTCACACTCTAAAAGGCAAAGGCGATGAGGTGAGACAGCCCTCCACCTCATACCTATTGTTCCCTAACCTCACACCCAGGGACACTGCATTTGTTACATTAGTATTAGCAATGAAGTGAAAAGAGAGTAACGCCGACTCCCCTACCCACTTACCGTAATCACCACCTTCCCCATTCACCTCATGGGAGACATTAACGCAAAAGAGGCGGCCAACTTACCTGGCTATGCAGATCCGTGTTCAGTAGCATTAACGCGCAGACCAAAGTGTGGCAGGCATCTAGAAGGAAGCACAAGAAGTCGTAAGATGCTGCTGCATACAAACAGAGAACAGCTCTGGACCGATCCCTCTTCACTTCACCCCAACCAGACGCCTTGACGAGGGACAGAAGGAAGACCAACAAGCAGAGTGCATCATTCAATAAAATGGAGCATAACTTTGATCTTTTTACAAACGAGTAATTTGGTGAAAGACCTCGTGCAAATCAACGAGGTGTTTTGCCAATATGAAAGGAAGGTGTCGCACCATCGTCTTTGTTTCCACCTCACAATTAGCGTTAATGGAGTAGAAGTGAAGGTAGATTTGGTCTTGCATGCCCCGCAAGGTCTGTAGAAAGGATGATTTATCAGGTTGGCGTCTAATACACACACAAATAGCCCCCAATTAAGGCTTATGGCGGCAGCCTAGTGAAGTGGAAAGTTCACGTCCCCCATAAAGCAAGAAGGGAAGAAAAAGGCATCTGCAAAAGCGATTCTACCGCAGCCGGCACGTTTACCTCGCCCTAGCATACAAGGATGGAAAAGATGCCAACTTT